GTGATTTATTTGAGGCTTCAGGAAAATGTAGAGGGTATTCAAGTCTGGAAAATTTCATATGGAAGACAGTTTTACTGTTTTATGTATATCCAAATAATCCAAATATACTGGCCTTTTGTCTCTTAAAGCTCTGTTTTAGATCCTGAACTTGTACACACAGAACCAAGAGGGCCTTTGTTTCACTAATTTTTTGGGATTGATGTTTCTCTCTGATAACAAAATCTCAAAAGATATATTATTTCTTAGGAATAAACTCAATCTAATATAACTCTAGGCATTTATAAAGAGTTCATTACTTATTCATCTTTTGGCTGGGTATAAACCCACCGATGTGAAGATAAATCACTGAATTAATCTCGCCTACTTGATTTTGTAACCCTTGGGGCAATGCCTTCACTCCTTAGAGGGTTTGGAGATGGAGTTAAACACCGTCCAACCAAGAAATGCAGCATTGCAGGTGTTCTGCGGATTAATTAATGGAATAAGCATTTTTAATTTTTAAAGGATTTGCTGACAATAATATATATCCAGGAACAAAACACTAAGCTTGTTCAGACTTTCAATGAATGGTTTAGGCCCAAAACCAGAAGAGAGAGCAGGGCTAAAAATTTATTAAGAAGAAAAATTATTTTCCCACACATTGTATGCATTTCATTAATATGTTAATTTACTATTTCCCTCCCGCAAAAAGTGGAATCTTTTCTGAAACACTGTTCAGACTGTAGAACATTTATTTAATGAAGGCTGTCTGAAAAATAACCAAAACGTCTCAGTCCTGCTGAGTAAGAATCCAATTTTGCCTCTTAGCTCTCCACCCACAAAAGGCTTCAAGAGGACCACACAATTAAAAGGAGGAATTTACAAGGGAGCCTTTTGTGTCTGAACTCTCACAGGTGGCATGTAAAACAGAACGAGGGGATTGCGTTCCAGCACTGCCCTCTGAGGGGTGTGCCAATCCACACATGAGCATCTAAAACTGGGTGAAATCAATCCCACTTTGTGTCCACCTTGCTCAGCCACCTGAGCCATGCTCTGCCTCCTTGGCTTTGTCACCAACATGGATTAAGTCCTGTTCCACCTGTTGGCTTTGCCATCCACCTTTTGCCTTTTGTCAAAGTAACACCCCCTAATTTCCTCGCCTTTTGGGGGTTCAGAAGTGGCAGGCTGCTCAAGGACATTAAATGGCATTTGTGTTCCTGCACCTCTCTGTGCATGTGTGAAGGAAGCAGAGACGTTCCTGCCCATCCCATCTCCCTTTCTCTGCTCTGCAGGAGAGTGATGGGTGTAGAAAGGTCAGCCTCCAGCTTCCCCAGGGAGCTGCAGCTTGGATAATGCTCCTGATGGCTCCTGGAAATGAGGTGCTTTTGTCTTGGTGTCTGCTGACTACTCCTGAACCCCAGAGTTTTGGAAGTCATTTACCATGCCGAGTTTGAGCAGATGAAATTGTGTTTTCAACATCAGGGACACACTCTTCCTACCCATCCTTCAGTGCCTTTAAAGTAGATATGAGAGGCATAGATATTAGGCAATGTTTTATCCTTTCTGAAAGAAGTGGAACTCTTTTATTCTGATTTTCTTCCTGAAATGGCTGACTCCTGTAAAAAATAACCCCCACACCACCCAAGGGAAGGAGAAAAAACCCTCCTTACCCCAAAAATTCAACTTTGGAAAGAAACATGATGCAGATAGCAGCAGCCTCAATGATTTGATCTGTTAAGTTATAGAATGAGAGGAAAGAATCTTACACAATCTAATGATAAAACTAGGTATTTTTTATATTTGATTTATTTTTGTGTGCATATTTATAAATGTTCTAGTTAAAGGCTAGAACTTTTTAAGCTCCCAGTCCTATCAGCAGAAAAGGATAAGCTCAAGGTAAAGCAAAACTACCCATTAATTTAGGATTACGCTTATCAAATGGCTAAATTAGGAAAGAAGTCTTCACCAGAAGATGAAGTTTTATGATGTATTCAATAAGAGATAGTGAGGAATATTGAAGTTCAGTGCCTTCTTCTGTAAGCACATTTGAATTACTGCTGTCCAACTCCAAAGAAAATTCCGTGATCTCTTTTATATCAGATGTATCAAGTATTGGTTATTCTGGCATTCCTAGTCCAAACTTCTTTAGGGTCTCCTTATTTAGCATTCCTTTCCTTTCACCTTTGACATTGAGGGTGGAGAGAAAGCTGCTGCCCATACCTTTATTTCTTGTCTTGATTATATTCCAGGTGTTTGAAAAAGAAATGCTCTGATTCAAGTTAGGCAAAAATAAATGTTAATGAGGATTTCCTGAGGTTTGAAGTAATCTGTGGCATTAAGTAATATGAGGATAGTGGAAATGCTTCTATCATTAATTCTCTAGTAGGTGTGAGTGATAGATGTTCTCCAGTAAATGTGCATGCTGGGAAGTTCCCTTTTATCTTAAGAATATGATTGATTATATTCCTGAATAGAGATGTATTTCTCTAAGTAAGCTGAACTGTGAGAAATGTCTAATTATCACCTTTTGATGGCAACAATTAACCTTTGTGAAATCGTCTGTTAATAAGATGTACTTGCAAAAAAAATTATCTGTATTAAAAACCTTTGTTAAATCTTTTAATTCCAGCTGCCCCCCTACAAGTTTCTATTTGCATTGGAATTGTGGAATGTAATTTGTTAAGAAAAGAAAAAAAATCTCATGTTTAATGAGAAGTTAAAGTAAAGCCCAGAGCAATCTCCTGTTTTTCTCATGCTGACTTTTTGGGGTTCCATTTTTGTGATTTATTTTTCTAGGATTAGAATAACATTTGGTTTTGTCATGTATGCAGTTGCTCACTATTCCAAAGAATTAAGACAGGAATATCCTTTTCCAAACACTAGGATGCTTTTAATTGTTTCAATAGGGCTTCTGTACAGATGTATTTGTTAGGGAAAGGCATTTTCTTTACACTCATTTCAAAGGGGGCCTGTTCCAAGGCCCTAAAAATCACTTTGCAAAGTGAGATTTACCCTTTGCCAGTGTACAATTAGCCTTATATCAAAATACATTAATAGGTGTGGGTTTTTTTTCTTTTTTAGTAAACAACACATGCCAACTTTGCAAAATTCTGTAGAAATCCATGCATATTACACTTCAGAGGCTTCTTATGCTTAATTAGTGACTGTGAAGCATCTTATACCTAACTTACACTTCAGTCATTGGTAGAACAAGACTCAAGAATTAATTTGAAATTATTTCCCTTCTTTTGAGATGCCTTTTTAAAATTATGTACTGCTGCCTATGTTGGTGTTGTTCCTGTTTCCATACCTGTGGGGCAAAAGACAATTTGCTTGTAGACAAGCAGAGGGGGAAATAGGCAACAACAAATATTTCATCAACCAGGGGCTTCAAGATAAGGAGGTTCCCTGTGGATTGCACATCAAAGGTACAAACAGGCTGTGAAATAGGAGGTTGAACAGCTTCTAACAAACTGTTAATTGAGCCAGAAATGAGGGTGTGGAAATGTGGGGTGAGACAATGATCCATGAGGCCTTACTGGAAAAACTGCCACTGTGGTCACACACCTGGAAATTGGTAAATTCTGCAGACCTGAAACCCTTACTCAGAGGTGAGCTGAGTCCCTGGGCATCAGGAGGCAATTTTTGGGGTCCACCTACAAATTTTGATGCATGCATTTTGTTGCTCTGGACTATCATATCAACAGAAGGCATTTATTGTTTCCTCCAATCTGTGTCACCCCCAGCTTTAAGGGCACAGCATGATACAAGTCTTGGCTCCTAATAATGATTGTGCTTGGCTGTAATAATGATTGTGCTAGAAAATTATCTTGCAGTTATTTTCTTATGATGATACCTCCTTTTCAGATAGCATGGAAACACTCTACTGTAAGAAGAGTTATATTGAAGTGTTTCTTGATTTTTTGCTTAGATCAATAAAATATCTCAGACTGCTACTGATCAGCAATTGCTTTGTAAGGCCTGTCAGTGCCTTCAGGGCCCAGGTCCTGGATTTATTCACCCTAGAGAAGGAAGGATTTGGAGAGGTTCTGGTTGCTGGGGGCATTACAGAGACGGTGATGTGAGCTCCCCTTGGCAGGGCACAGCAAGGTGACAAGGAGCAACAGCCATAATTCATGAAAAGGCAAACTCCAATGGAAAATAAGAGAAGTTGTGGGGAAAGGGGGGTGGATTTGCTGTCAGAGAAGTCGAATACTGCAGCAGATGCCCAGGGAGGGTGTTCAACTTTCATACCTGGAGGTATGGAAAGCTTGAATGGCTGAGACTCTGAGCTATTTGTATGGTTTGACTTTGAAGTTTGTCTTGCTTTGAGCTGAAGGTTGGACTGGATGATCTCTAGAGACCTTTCCACCAGAATGGTTTGTGGTTCTCATCTCAAATAGCTGGACATGTAGTCAAGTTCCCTGGGAGGGAGAGGGTATATAAACCAGCATGTTCTTTCTTTAAAAGTTTAAGAGGAAAAAGACAAGACAGGACAGTTAAAGGCCTCATTTTGTTCTCATGGGAAATAAAAGTGTGCTTGAAACCAGACTTACAGATTGAAAAAACTGTTTCCAACTGCACTAAAGCAGCAAAAGAGATTACTGAAGTCTCAACTTGCTACTCTCTACTAAAAGCAAGCAGACTTGTGCCTCACCTTTTCAGTGATTGGTGCTATTCAGAATAGGAATATGGACAAAAAATTGCTTAGATCTTCAGTTTTAACTCATTTTTCCAATGTCTCTATTCAGCTATCATCTTCAGTACTGCTTTTTCTACTTCTTCTCAAATCCCTTAGCAAAACTTAAAAGAAAATAATCCTCCTCAGTGTGGCTCATTGCCACCCATAGTTATCCCCAGGATTAATAGCATTTGTGATAACTGCAATAAATTGGACCATTTCATGTTTCCATGGCAGCCAAGTTGAAAGTAGCAATTTTTTCCCCAGGTTGGCTAAAGATACTCTTGCAGGTAGAAGATATAAACTAATATTGATTAAAAATTTTCATCTGTGTTGCACCAAAAAAATCTTTTTCTACATTTCTACTTCTCTGTGATAACTAGCTGGAGTGTAGGAGTATTTCATTAAAAAATAAATGGAGACAGAAGAACTTCCTATTCGAGTCTATCAGTGATTAAATGAATTTGACATTTTTATCTTGAATGAAAGTGAATTTCAAGTGCTACTGTGAAGAACTCTCACCAAGCATATAATTGGAGCTTGTCAAACAAAAACTTCCTTCTATTGCTGTTTAAAAAATAAAAATCAGGTCATCTTCTAAATTAAAGCAAAACTGAAACAAATGGCAAACAAAAATCAACAAAAAGACAGGATTTGTAACTAAAAGAAAGCTGCCTATTCTGTTTTTTATGTACAGAAATATTCTGAAAAGTGTACAAATGCCATAAATTTTTTTTCAAATCTGGCTGTTCTGTACAATCTCTATTCCTCTGTCACAGTATCCACTGGTCTCTCTTAGCTTATGCTGTGGTATTAAAGACCCTAAAAGTCAGTTGGTTTTGCAACAAACATGTAAAGTGCTTTCTTTCTGCATTAAAAATGACCTAAGAAAATTTTTTTGCCTATAAAGAGAAATTTTGGGGGTTACCTGTTGGAGGTTTAACAGGAGAAACCAAGAAAAAAAAATTATCAAAGCATTAAGTCAGTAATTAGATATCTGTGTTTACAGTACTATCCAGGTTTATGTGTAATCCCAACCCCTTTTTTTTGTGTCTGGTGTAAACAAGTGGGGTCCTGCAGCAGTGCAGGGCTGGATGAACAACAATAAAATGGTCCTCATCATAGCCAATAATTTGGCTTTTGATGCTACTCTAACCACAAACAGTGGTGTAAGGACGTTCTCATGCTTGCATGAGCTCTGCAGTGGCATTTTTCCATTGTCACAACTGTTTTTAAAAAAAACCAACAAAATCTTTCTTGGCATTCAGTCAGTTTTACCTGACTATATTTGCATGCAATGATTTTGCCTCCATCTTTTATCACATATGCTGTAATATTATAGTGCTGGAGCTCAGGGTGTTTGTTTGTTTGAGCAGAAGACAAAAAAAAATGCAAAAGCCAACTGATAGGGTAAAAAATGCACCCTTCATCCCACAGATCTGTGTCATATTATTATGTAGAGATCGTTGTTTTTTCTCTCCAACCCTTGAATTTATCATTTCCCTCTCTAGCTCTTTCCATCAATATCCATGGATTTTGTTTCCCTCTTCTCCTCCCATATTGCCATTTTAAACGTTTGTCCTGTGTTTGTATGGGAATTCTAGGAAGCACTCATGTAGTTTAGGATCCTCTGGGAACTTTTTAACATTGTGTGCTCCTGTTTGAAGGCTTAGCTGAAATCTTGCTGTCTGAGCTGCAGCTTCCTCAGCTGTATTTTTTCCAGGTTGTCTGACAAATGCTGTCCAGTAAATATATTCTCTTGCCTGCTGTGATGCAAAAATTACTTCCCTGCTTGTCTCCCTAGAAAATATTTTTTCTAAGAGAGTGGTAGTTGCTAGGATAGAGAAAGACTGCTGTATTTTGAACAGATTTTTTATTAACTGTTTTAATAGGTTTGATGTTCCTTTGTTTCAGTCAAAGAAATGCCTCTGCAGTGGGTTTGGATGGCACATCTCACCTGGAAACTGTTGCTAAGTGAAACTTACTTTTGTTGGCGAATAATTTTTGTTGGAGCATCTATCAGTAAGAAAATGGGAAGCAGAATCACAGACAAGGAAGCAACAGGGCTGGGAATGGTGGGCTGTGAGTAGTGTGGATTTGTGTGAAGCACCAGTTTAATTTATGGAGCCCATTTAAGGCTAATTCCATTATAAAGTTACATAGGTTCAGCTTTGATTTCTTTTTTCTCTTTTGGAGGGGGAAACTCTATTGGCTGTTTGTTCTTTATGTGGTATTATTTGGTGTGGGGTTTTCAACTGTTGTTTTCTTCATGGTTTTTTTTTAGCAATCTTTTCTTACCAACCATTTTAATTGAGCTCAAATTTCTTTACAAAGAAAATATGCTGATGATTTGATGGCCGCATGTGGGCACTGATTTGTGGATGAAAGACACAGCTTAAACCTGTGCATTAGGCATAAATAGCTGAAATATTGTAACAGGAACAGAATTTGGCATTAGAGTGCAACACAAAGATATCACCTGTCAGCAAACCAGAGATAGACAGCCTGGGGTCAATATGGAGGAATTTGGTGAAAGGCCAGCTCTGAAAAAAAATAAATCTGACTGCCAGGACAGAAAATCAAAGGAAGAGCTCACAGCAGCAGGGAAGAAGTGCACCAGGGGTGACCTGCTGTAGAGGGCCAGCGTTAAGGAGTGTCTGAGGTGACTGCCCTGAGGATGCTCCACACTGGAACTTTCTCATCTCCAGCCTCCCCCATGTGAGCTGACTGTAATTAGCTCCTGCCCATGCATGCCAGTGCTGCCTGCCTAACTCTCAGCTCATTCTGAAAGCTGCCAGGTGAGAAAGTGTGTAATTGCCTTCCCTCAAGAGGCAGCAGCTCCTCGAGTGTGAAGAATTCACACACACAAGTTTTTGAACTCAAGGAGGTTTTCTCAATTGTTTCTCCCCTTTTTCTTTGCTAGCACAGTGGTTACAGCTGGTCTGGGAGTGCAGCACTGCACTTCAGGATGGGAGTGAGAGGAAATCTCAGGATGGGTTGCAAAGTCATCACAGCCCCTTCTCAAAATGAGGGAAAGCAGAGTCTGTCTTCTTACTGTGGCAGTATTCAGTTACCTTTCTGTCTTTTACAAAACCATCTCCTCTTTCAGGTCTCGTTCATATTTGGAGATGAAGTGCCATCAAGAAGGTTCTTTCTTTTGCTGTCTGTCCCTGGTGCTCTCCAATGGTGCCCCAGACTTGTTGCAGGTTTGCAATCCTTTCTTTTTTCTGGCTTTCTGGAAGGTGATAAGAGCCTACTGAATCAGCAAAGAAATTGGCTTTTCCATGCAGTCAACTCTGCCTTTGCTCACGAGAATATTTCACAAGGAGGTAGAAGGGCAATGCCTCAGCTCTGTAGACAGCAGAAAGCTGTGCAGCAGTACAGGACACAGGAATACACATCTCACAAAATTATCTGAGAGTACAAGGCTCAGCAACTTTTCTTAAGAGTCTAAAAAATCCTTAGCTGTGACACGTAGCAGCCGTCCAAGCTGCACAGCATAATTATTTTCCCCCTTCTCAGTCTTCCCCTCCCAGCACATGATATGTTGTATTTGACACTTAGGAGGGAGAAGATACTCAGCAAAAATCTCACATTTTTGCTGTTTAGGGTATTTAAATCTTGAGCAAAGTTCTTTAGAATATTATTGTCAAAGATAGAATATTATTTAAGTGCAGAGAAGCATGAAACATGCATCCAATTTAGCATCTTGCTCAGAATGTGTTTTAAAGCCTCTGTAGCAAAAAGAAGTGAAGTTGAGGTGACAGAGCTCTTATAATCCACTGTATAAGCCAGTAAGAATAATTCTTACTGCATATGTATGAGAAAATTATTTTTAGGTGTCACTCAGCTTACTTAAGATGCTTGACAGAATATTTGAAGCCCAAAAACATCCCTGGCCAAAGAATTAAATAATATTTTCAAAATCTGTGTACAAAGAACTCACTGTCAGCATGGACTGAGACAGGAACCCTAATGCAAGAACAGTGATATTTACTTACCAGTAGCAGTGCATTAAAGGAGAAATATGCATTAGAGAAGGTGAAAAAAATAGTGATTAATTTGGCAGAAATTGTTAGCAAGGCCAAGTGCTAGCAAGACAAGAATTTTTCAAGAATTGTCTGGAAACACATGGACATTTTGATATTTTTTCCCCAGCAGTTTGAGTAGTGTCTACCATGATGTATATCTCATGTGAAATCCAGAGCTCCAATTTTAATGTGCAGGACATTATATGATATTACAATATAAACTTTCAGTTTGATACTGCCTTTTATTCTTGAGAAAACCCAGGCTTAAAAAAATACTGTCAATCTGGGAAAATTCTTTGCATGGTGTCTTTTTCAGGTATTGTACAGGAATACAGTGCACAAACATGATTTACTGCTGGAATCAGTGTTGATTTGCAATCACTTCAAAATTCAAGACAAAGGAGATTGGTTGGGGCTTTTTTGGTTTTGGTTTAGTTGTTTTTTTACTTGTTTGAATACACAAATAAATGGTTAGCTTGTATGCTTGAATCTGAGCCAATTCTGCATTTAATAATCAATTATGTTGTTCTTATTTTTCCCTGGGGGTGGTTTGCAGCATAAATAGGAGTAATTAAATCAAAACAGTAGTAACTAGAATGCTGTACAACTTATGAAGGAGTCCAAATGTCAAGTTTATATTTCTGTTTCACCCTATAAATAGGGTGTTGAAATGGTTGCAGAAGCAAATATTTTGAAAGTTTTGTACTCCCCTAGTAAATGAACAGGAGAAAATCAAGAAATATTCTAAGAAATCAGCTACATAATTTTGATTGTGCAGAGCTGTTTTAGGCATGCTGTAATTTTGTAAGTCAATGTACATTAAGAGAAGAGGAAGATTTTACTCGCAACTTTAAGCAGAAATTCTGTAAGAGCTTTGACTTCTTGTGCTATGAAATGACCCACACCAATCAACTATTAATCAAGTATGTATTTTTGTAAAGAATCTGAGCCTTCATTGCAAGAGGACAGTTTGTCTTTAAAAAGTGTTAGTTTATTGCTGGATGGATAGATCTGATCCATGTGCTGTGTGGGAACCACAGTATGGACGTGGGGTTCCATGTGGTCCATTAGGATCACACTATTCAAACTTCCTCTCCCAATGGAATAAAATTCTGACTCTTAGCTCTACCAGAAAACTGAAAAAATCAGATTTAAAATGTATTTCTCAATGTTGATTTGGGTTTCCCACAGAACAGATAATTGTGTTGTGTTACATTTAAATTTGCAGATGTAAAAGAAAGTTTTCACATTTCAGAATCAGTGTGTTTCTAGTAATGGTTTCAGGAAGTGTGGGAAGAGGATCCACCTAGGAGATGTGTCTTGCTCACCATTTACATACCCAGCAAGGTGTGGATTAGCTGGCTAATAATTGCTAACAATTTGAGTAATTTAAAGCAGTGTGATAATACCTTCTGGAGGATTATATTAGGATTTTTACACGTAATGTATAATCCTAATATAATGTATTTGCATATATAATATATCCTAATAATATTATATTAGCATCTTTCTTTAGGATTACATTTAATATCCCCACCTTGGATTTAACTAAATAGGGAATAGCTGAATAGATTTACACCAGAGAAGCAGGGCAGGAAGCAGTAACATGGGTGACCTTGCTGATGCAAGGCTCAGCATGGTTATGAGCTGACCCCAGCCTGCTGCTGCTGTTATTCACAGCAATGTCCAGGGAGACAGAAACTGTCATTTGAGCCTTATTTTTCTGAGCTGCAATCAGGTTTGCAGTTTAGGAAAGTGATCACAGATGCACAAGTAGCATTTTCTTTTTGCTATTTCTCTAAAACCACTGCTCTCTAAGTATAACTGATTTTGAAGCCTTCAGTCAATTTCAATTTTCATTTCCATGACAAAAGCTCATTTAGTTTCAGTTGTCTCCTCTAAAGAAATGACTTGTTTGTTTAAGGACAAGGTCATCCTTCTCACAGTCAGATGGGAATCTGTAGATGACTTCCCACTCTGGCCTTGGCTGTGACAACTGACCTTTATTTGGTCAAATATCAGGGAATGTTATGGTCTCCTACTTCTTACAGGAATTAAATTCCCTTCTCAGCTTCTGACAATCTCCATTTTGCCCACAGACTTGGTAGGTGTCCTAATAACCATGGAAAGAGTTGAGATAAAAGTATCAATGCCGCTAGTCCTATCACCTTTTTCTTTTTTGCATCTATTTGCCCTGTCAGGAATTTAAATTTACACTTTCTAGCTGTGTTTGCTGACTGTTTCCAGTGTAACCCAAAATGCAGTGAGTGATAGCTTGAGTGATCTCAAGATGCATCTTGAGATGTAATGTGTAAAAGTCCACAACAGCTCTCAAGTGGAATGCTTTGTCACCTCCTAGGAAATGTCTGGAGAGGGTTAGGAGGGGCTGTGTGGCTTATGGAGAACATTTGCTGTCACTCCAAGGCAGGCAGGGAACCTGCTTCAGTGCAGGCTCTGAGACCACAGCCAAGTGTGGGAAAGTAAATGAAAATATTCTGTTTTGTCATGCCTCCATCCTGAGCATTTCTCACTTTCCTGCATGCTCAGGATGAACAGGAGATGGCCACAGCTTGTCTGGACATAAAGAGCTCATTGGAAATAGAAAACCACTATGTGTTTGGCTTCTGGGAGGTGAGTTAAATAATGTAGGAGATCTCTGCAGAAAGTAATGCCCACAATCTGGACAAAGCTGCTTCTGGCCAAGCACATGAACATGAACAGCCTGGGAAGCAGGTATTGGTCATCATTTATTGACTGATGCAGTCAGCTCACTAAATTTGATGTGGTTTGGATTCCAGGTTTCAGTAGGGCATAATGGCATTTTTTGAATGTGCTGTCTGTTGCACAAAAAATGAGAGGCAGAGGCTTTGACAGTGACATTTGCCAAAGAGAGGATTTGGATTAGAAAGGAGTGGTTAGGTATACCTTGACGGAAGCACTTGAAACCTGAGGGTTATTCAATTAATTTTTTGAGAGGCAGTACAAGGGAATAAATGCACTTTGACAAAGCATGGAGTCATCTCTCACAATCCAGTGCTGCAGGACAAACAGACATCATTTTGGTGGGGGTGTTGTGTTTGGGTTTATGGTTGAGTTTTTTCAGGGGAACACCTATGCTCTTTTCCTTACTGGCAGTAAGGTGCCATCACAAGACAGGGTGCATCAGCAATATAGAGATTTTTTCCTTACTATATATATATATACACACATACATATATATGTAGTTTTTTTTTTTCATTGCCAATACTGTTTATACCTGGAATCAAGTTCTTTTTGTGTGTGATTTGGTACAGTTGACTTCAACAGGAAGCATGCTATTGTTATAAAGTACAAGTGGAAGAATGTTCTGTTATGTTTTCTTTTATTTGAGGTTTTGAGCTACTTTTATTTTGGTGGGGTGAGTGGGAAGAATTCTAATGTGTTAATTCAGATCCATTAGAGAGAAGGAGCCTGCCCTTGTAAATCTAAGACTGATTAACAGTGGGTATTTTTCTTTTTGCACTTAGGCATCAGGGAAACACCATTTTCTACTTGAGAAATTGCACCTATAATTGAAGTGTGGCAGTGCTGCTCAACTCTTGGCATTTCTAGAAAAAAAAAAAAAAGAAGCTCCAAATTCAAAGATTTATCTACCACAAACCAAAATTTATGAAGCAAACTGTAACACACAAATAATTCCTAGAAATTTGACGAGAATGGCTTAACCAGAGAATTAAATAAAAATCCCACCCTCGAAACTGCCTCCACCACTCCTCCATCATGCCAACATGACCAAAGTGGAATCACAGCGTGGTTTGGCTTAAAGGGACATTAAAGATGAGCTGGTTTCAAGCCACCTGCTGTGTTCTAGGGCACCTTTCTCTAGAGCAGGTTGCACAGAGCCCCATCCAGGCTGGCTCCGAAGTGTGCTCTCTTCCTGAAGTGTTGTTTTAAACCAGATGAAGAACCCAGGGCAGCCCTCCTGTGTTCTTTTTGTACCTGTGGGGGAGTGAGGACAGAGCCAGGGATTTGGGACTGCCCTGCCTAAAGGGGTTTAGGAACCTGAGGGTGCCTCCAAGGGTAAGGGAAACCAGCCAGGGAAATCTGCTCAGGAAGAGGGCAGTGGAAAACAATGCCATGTATTCTTTCTCCCAGACAGTGAAGAAGTACATTTGTGAAATCTGGCATTCTAAGACTCTAAAATGGAGAAGGTAATTTTATTTATTGCTTTTTTTATTATATCCCACACAGAAGATGACTGCAGGCAGACACTTGTTGCTGAAGCTGCTCATTGGAATTTCAGGAGCTGGTATCAAATCAGGGTTTATTCTCAGGCTGTATAGTACATTTTTCTTTACTTAAAGAGAATGACAAGTTATTTTGCAGGCTTATTTTTTGGCATCAGCTGTTACAAATTCTCTGCAGGATTATCTCTGTTTGTAGAGAATTTCCTGGCAGGACATGACTGGCAAAAAAAAAAGACAGCTAATGGAGTGCTAAACAAACTTAGCAGTCAGCATACCCAGAGCATGGCACTTTGAAACCTGCACACATTCTCAATATTACAGTGGCTTCTAGCTTGATATATCTAGTTATAACAAGATAAAGGCAAAACCCAACCACTGATTAAAAAAAAAAAAAGTGGTTTTATTCTTTTTAAATGGTGAAGTTTGGAAATTAAAGGAAATGCATCAGATATCAGTGACCACTGGAAAAAGCCAAACCAACCAACCAACCAAGAAAAGAATTCATCTAACATTCTCTACTTCCTTGATATGTCTGTATGGGGGCATATCTATATATCTATATCTATATCTATATCTATATCTATGCATGTATGTATGTATATATGTCTGTATTTGAGTGACCTTCATTGAAAAGGAAATCATTGCACTATTGAACTGGAATATTTAGGAGAATTACCTTGCATAACAGTGAAGGCAGTAAATGTGTTTACTGCTCTGTTTTGTTTCCCCATTCCTGCCTGTGTTCCGAGGCACAGCAAAGAGCATTTCTTCTGTAGCAAACAGAAAATGTAGACAGATTTGTGGCCCTGTGGTCTTGTGGAGTGGGAAGTTTTCCCTGCTGTAGTTAACAGCTCCCTTGAAAGGATGTGAGGTGCTACAACACTGCTTTTATAAAAATAATGAACCAAGAAGTCAAGGCAAACAATGCAGAGCATCACTGATGGCCTTTGCAGAGCCACACTGCTGTGTCTCTGCAGCCTCCAGGGGGAAGGCATTGTAAAAACCCATTTCTTTTTATTTCCAGTGATGTGATACTGTAGAAACTTGGAAGCCCAGGTTGGATTCACCTCCTCTGGGTGTTGCCTTGTGGCTGTGGCAATCAGCAGAGGCCCAGGAAGGAGAAGGGCAGGAGCTGAGGGACTCACAGAGAGGCCTCCTCTTCCTCAGGAGGACCTGCTGGGCTGCTCTGTTCGTTTTCTTCATGGACACCTACAGGATTTGCAACTTTTCAAAGTCCAGGCTTTTTCTGTCCTGCATGAAAATGCTTCCTCCATGAGCACAAAGTCTTTTGAAACTACCAATTCAACCTTTCTAATGTTTTTTTAATCAATACCTGAAATTTATGTCTTATATGATCTAAATACAGAGTTTGGGATATAGCTCACCCTCTGTTTTCAAAATCCTTGCTTTTTCTACTTTGTAAGTAACAGAAAAGAGCCATTTTGGTAATTAGAGTACCCTGGGCTCTTCCTGTGACAGATTTCATCTTCTGGAGTGTAAAAGAGAGATTGACTTGTGTTTTGGGGAGAGGAGGAGGAGTACTTCAGCCATTTCATAGAAACACTTTAAGAGTTCATCCCATGTCCGTTTTCCCATTCCTGCACATTTCAGTAGCACTGAGGGGTCCCATCTATGGGTTACCTCAGGTGGTTTTCCCTTTGTTTGCCTCCCATTGTTTGCTTATTAACTGTAGTTAAATATGGATTATGGAAATAAGATAGGAATAGGTAAGTGTCTTACCAGAAATTATTGAAGAAATTAAAGAGATTTTTTAAATCTTTCCTGAAAAAAATGAGAGTTCTCAAATGGCTCTTTATCCAGGGATCTTAGAGCTTGTCAGGAATAAAGGTTTCTTTTCAGACACTGAGCAACTGAAGGACAGAAATGCAGTTAAAATCCCTTCCAGAGAGTAAAAAAAGGTCTTAAAAACCACGAGTCACTGATTCAGGTGCCCCCCTCCATCCTCTGCCACTAAAGGCAGTGAGTGATGCTTTGGAACCAGAAGTTTTTAGAGGAGTATGGAACACACATGCAGAGACAGAAAATATTTTGCTTTTCCCTTTGAATATCTGATTTTTATATTTTGGGACTGTATTAATATTAGACTGCATTTGGGATGGCCTGCAAACTTGCTCTGCTCTCTGGATCTCTGCTGAGAATTTTGGTGAGAATGCCAATTTTTATTTGGAGTTTTGTTTGTGATCTGCATACCTGCCTGTCAGGAAATTAATTGGAACAACTTGGGCTTACAGGGATTGAACTGAGGGAGAAATGCAATCTGTCTATTTCAATCAGTGCTTAAGTCATATTTTTTGATTTGTACAAGGAATTGATTGTATAAAGTCCAGATTCTGAATTCATTGAGAATGACATTTATGGGTTTCACTGGCAGCAGCACAGGCTCTATTTCTGCACATCACAAACAGGGGTGTGTGAGTGCAGGCTAACACAGAATTCAACAGAAGGCGACTTTTACAATGTTTCCTCTACTGTTTTCCTGAAGAGAAAGCAGTTTTTTAGAGACTTGACAGCCCTGAAGTCCAGGGGCCTACAGGGCATCCTTTAAGGGAAACAGTATCTTGTACTTTTCTTGGTTTTGTAGTTTTTTTTTAATCTATGGGTAGGTTAGTTCCTGGAAACCATCTGTGTTTGCAGTTTTGCCACAGCATTTGCTTTTAACTAAAAAAAAATATTCAGCAAAAGTTGGAGCATTCTCTTATCTTTGTTTATTCCTTGTTTTGCTTTTTTCTTTGCTCCTGTGTATGGGAATATGCTTTTGGAGCTGGGGCTGAAGCAGCAAGCATTTCACAGTCCACCTTCTGTTTTATGAACCACCATCAGCCCATGAACTACAGGCTCAAAAACATTTCAGTGCACTGGGCTGGAGCCCTCTCCCTGTTTAACCATGCAGAGCAGCAGGATACAATTTTGGCCTGATGTCTGGAACTGGAGAGAAATAAAGGGAGAGATTTGACTGACCATATCTGCTGGTGTGCCATGAGTCCTGATTTCTTGGCTGGTGGGGAATAGGCAGCTCATTTCCTGCACAATGGGAACTGAGGTGTTTATTGGAAGGTAAACACGCTGCTCCGTGTGTCCTTGTGGCCTTTTCCATATGTTTTATCCAGGTTTTGATCCCTAAGCAGTGAGGATTATTTTATAACTAAGTTCCCAGACCTGGTTATTTGTTAGGAGTATTCATTTTCTGATTCCCTTTATTTAAAGCATTCTGAATACAGGTGCAGCTCTCTGGAATTTTAATTCTTTTCTTTGTGAGCTGGTTACTTTCCCAAATCACTGAGATTCAGAGAATGTTCCTAGGGTTTGACATAATCAGTTGCTGCTACTACAATATGTACCTTTCTGGTACTATTTTTCAAATTATATTACTGAATTTCCAGGAGAGTCATTTCAGTCCAAGATCTATTTTCAGTGCTCAAAAGGATGAAGGTTTCTAACTCTGTAGTTGTGAAGAGATCACAGTGCAAATGAAAGCAAAAGCAAAAGAGGTCTCCCTTAGGGAAATAATTGGTGAAATTAGCCAAGGTTCAGGAGCTTTCAAACCTAAGGAAATCCTCAGCAGGGAAAACCTGAGGATCAGAATGGTAAAAATAGGACAGATGGTGTTCCTTGTCAAAACCCTGGGAAGCTGTGGATTTCCTAAGTGTCTGAGCTCTGGTTATTACTCTCCTCTGTGCCTGGCAGCATGTCATGCTCCCCTGATCCATAACTAGAAATCACAACCCATCTGAGAGGCTGTGGCCCTCCAGTAGCATGAAAACTGACTGGATTTCCTTGGAAAAAACCCAGCTCATTCAGCTGGTCATGCCCTTTGAAATCACAAAGATAGTTATCCATCTGCAGGAACAGTCCGTGGAGCAGGAGCTTAGGACGTTGTCACCTACAGTCACATAATGTAGAGTCAATCCTTGCTGTTCCCATGTTTTATATTCTGGAAGAGAATTGGGAAGTGTCATTATCTAGCCAAGATGGAATCAACTGAAATATATTTAGATTTGATCCTGGCTTACTGAACCTTGTACTGATGAGGTCACTAAAGAGCTGCCTGAAGTACAGTGGTTTCTCTTTTTTGATGTCTTTCCAGGTGGACAAATATCAAAATCGATGACTGAATATGGGATCAAGCTTCAGTGGAGGGAAGACAGACTGTATTAATATGGGTGCCATGCATGAGAAAAATATTACAGAATAATGAAGGTAAATGCAAAAACTGCTGAGGTGGGCACAGGTTTGTTGTCTCTTATGCTTTTTTCCACTGTACATAAATTCTGTTATCAGTCCTGCCTGGTAAGATAGCAAAGATGGAGACGTGAAGAGCTTAGTGTGGTAACAGAATCAAGAGCAGGAGACTTTAACCCATGAGAAAATTAAGTTTTTCCTGTTGTTTTCTCACAATTTTTACTGTTGATATGTACATGAACTGCTTCTATCAAAGGATTAAATCAAAGACTTAGAGGCTAATTCTCTCAGCTTTACTCAATCAGTCAGTTTGATTTATTGTTCTTGGCTTATACAGTTCTCATCAGTTAACTTATTCTCTCAACAGGTGGTAACATAATTAAAATGGATTTTTATTGCAATTAAAGCATGAAGCTGTTTCTGTTTGCCAGGAATCATTCATATTTTAAATCAGTATATGAGAGAAGTAAAAGTATTGGAGGTGGGTAGTGATTAAAATCACTACCTTGAGAGTGTTGGAGGCAAGTTTTTTTCTTGGAGTACCTTTCTGAAGATGCTTTTTTATTTTTTCTAGTGAGATGGAGGACATTTGATAAGCATGTGGCTGGGTTGTTTCTGAACTGGTGATGTTAATTGTGCAAATAAATGTTAATGGCTTTTCGGAGCTCCAGGGAAGGAACTTTCACTGAGAAAATGTGTGTATAGGCCTGTTATGTCTGACCTGGTTGCTCTGGATTTGTTTTGTGGTCAATACAGAGAAATTGGCACTTTTTGTTCCAATTCAACTCATCTGGGGTGAAAAAGAATGTAGTCTAAAAATGGATCAGACAATTGGGCCCTCAAGTACTTATTTCTCACTATTGATTATAAAGAGAGTCTGAGGCTCCAGGCCCAGCTGCTGGCATCTTCACTGCAGATCTCTACAGTTAAGTGAAATAAATCAGCCTTGGAAATAAATGGAAAATTAATCCCACTGTGGCCACAAGCTGGTTTGGTTCCCCCCGCCCTCCTATTCTTCGCTCTGATTTTAACAACTCAGCTGGTTTTTGTGCTTTCCTCCACCCTGAGGTTCCCACCCAAGACTAGCCAGAGCATTGAAACCAAGCTCTGCTCCTTTGGCTTTGTATCTTTCTTACAGTCTGGTGGGGTTTTTGTACTGTAGGATTTGGGGTGGTTTTCAGTTGGCTGTTTGTTTCTGCTTGTTGTTGGATGGTTCATTTGTTTGGACAAATGAATTCCTGTAAATCCTTGTGAGTTGCCAGCTCTGTTGGGCTGAGCTCACACTGCACCCAGGCTGAGCTTGGGCTCAGCTGCTGGTGTTTTGTGTAGCCCAACCTGGAATAATCCATGGCACTGGGAGAGAACTCTTGGTGTGCCAGCAGATGTGCACACACAAAATGCAGCTGCAGCAGCCTCATCCTGCTGGGAAACAGGAAAAATGCTGAAAATGCTTTGCTGGCGCTGCTCCCTGCTGGCAAGAACAGCCATAGCTCGTTTTCTGCCTTCCATGGAAGCACAGATTAACTGCAAAATTACAGGAGTATTTCAGGAGTATTTCCTCCGATTAATTTTTTTTTTTTTTGTGTTGTTTTGGGGTTTTTTTTTGTTTGTTTGTTTTTGTCTTGGGATTTTTTTTTTTTTGAGTGTGGCTATAGTTGTTGTTTTTCTCAAATATAATTTGTGTGGGTGTGCTGCTGGTTTATTTGCAGATTATGCAAATTGCCAAATATTCAAAGAGCAATGCTTAATTTTATCAAGTGCCAAGGCTCAGTTCTAGTTTATGGAAGGTTTTTTTAACCACTTGAGCAACTGGTTTTTCAAAGGGACCTGAAAGACCTGAATTCGGCAGTCCCATTAAAGCTCCAGGTTTTCAATTTGCCTGTGGCAGCTTTGGAGAGCTCATCCAGAAACACATTTCAAAAGTTGGTCAGGATGAAAAGAGGAGTTTTTGGTGCCCAGAGTCGAAGTCAGCATGCAGAGAAATCTTATGACACACAGCCTTTATTTTGTCTGAGGAGGATGCTTTCTTGTTCATTTTTCAATTTCCCAATGTAACACTCTCCAGAGCATGACTTTGGAGGCAGGCAGAGCAGGTGCTCTGGATTTCCTCCTGGAATTAAATGTGTCCACCTCACTGCCCATGCTGTTTCTGTCTCAAACCCAAACACACCAACTGTGGAGATTTGCAAGATGTCACATTAACAATGCTGCTGCAGCCCCTGTCCTTGTCCCTGCTCCAGGGGCTCCCTTTGCCCATGGCACCTCTGCTGCCTTGAAGATTTTCTGCACCATGAGGCATTGAAAGCTTATATCCATGTTCAAATGCAGAGGTAAATAGTCCCAGAGGGGTGAGGAGGTGTTCCCAGCTCCAAAAGGTGTGAGGTGTGTGACAGCTCTGTGCTGGCCACTGCCAGCCTGCCTCAGGAGCTAATCTCATTGTCTTCTGCAGAACATGGATTTTGGCACAGCGCAAGAATTGCCAGCTCTCTCCTGGAAGTTACTGGTGTAAAACCCTGTGGAGTGTGTGCCATCGGCTGCCTGAGCTGGGATTTGATATCCTGGGATGGGGAGCTGGGTGTAGGTGAGGTCTGAGACATCCCTGTGGCATGGGAGGGAAGACTTTCCAAATGTGAGGTGTGAGTGTTGCTTTTTTCCCAGTCTGGAAATGAAACTCAAGATAATTTTAATAAGGAGGTAATATAAAAAGGGGTTTTAATGAAGGCCTTTGGGGCAGTTATGGAAAGATAAAATGTACTCACCTCCTCCTAAGGGTGAGTACATTTTTATAGATTTTAGGAAATTAGCATAATTGATGAAAAGCACCAATTAGCAGGAAAAATGGTGATGCAATTCCCCTCCAAGTCAAGCCCTTTCTCTAGAGGCCCCCATTCAGCACTGGCTGTGCTCTGTCCATGAGAATGGATCCCAAAGAGTTGTTTTCAGCCTTGGCTCCCAGGAACAACCAAGATAACACTGGAGCCTTGCACCTCCTGCGACTTGGGGCTCTGGAATTTTTGTCTTTCTGCCTAGAGAAAGGCCATGGAAAATTACTGGGAAAACTACTCCCTAATGCAACAGGTGACAGAGTTACAAATATAGGTGTGAAGAATACAGAGAACATGCAAAAGAAAAAAGGCAAAGCACAAATGGCATCGTGAGGACCTGCAGGGCAGGTGCTTGAAGGGGACTTGACATGGCAGAGTGGTTTTACTGAAGGCCATGATGTCTGTGCTCTCTGGTCCTGCTCCATCAATCTAAGTTTTGCCTTTTTTCCCATGGATTTCCTATGTTTAAAATATGATTTTTGATCATAGAAAAATTCTGATCTTGCAGAAATCACCTTGTGAGAGCAAAGCATGCTACCACAACTTCTTTTAGATTAGTAGCCTTATTTTTAACATGCACTTTAATTATAAGAACATGGAAATTCTCTCAAAATTTTCGATGTGTTTAAATCCAAACTCACCCTAAAATGGTGTCTTGCTTCCCTTTTCTAAGACAAATAGTTTTGTGTCAGTATATAACTCCTTTCTAATATTCCTTTCTAATATCACTCTGCAGCTTTCACTACAAAGGGGATATTTTTGAAACAAACACTATCCAGTGTGATCATTTAGGGGTTTATATAATTTTCAACCATTGAGCAAACAGTGAAAATTAAATAAGCAATCTTTACCTGAGAATGATTATTTAAAACAAAGCTATTAATAAAATCCTCTGACAGGTGGAGGCACTTAGTAATATCAATCAGTTCTCTCTTTAGATATGAAGTATTCATTTTATAAATTTATTTATTCTCTATATAAAGTTTGTTGCCTCTTGAAAAATGGTTTGCTATTGGGAATACATCTTGCTATTCATTTAGAAGAATGTTCTGTAGGTGATATGGACAGGATTTCAACTGTTTGAGGGGAAAAAAGAACAAGTGGTAATGTTTTGCAAACATGAAGATGAGGCTGAGTGTTGGATTAAGAAAGAGATTGAGATGGCTTTGTGGAAATCTTCTATTCAGGTACAGTGTTTGCTATGTGGAGATGACAAGTTATAGGCATTGCTAGAAATGCATGTTTTTTCTGTAATTCCTTATTTCTTAATTATCTTTCTCTGTTAAATAGAATTAACATTGTTAATCTCTGTGAAATCTTTTGGGGACTCCCAAGATAATTTGTTTCAGGCTGGTATGGAAGTCATGAAGGGCAGAAGTAGAATTTAATTGTAAGGACTTAATTAATCATTCAGGTTGCTCGGCTGATAATCTGCACGAAAATTGTAAAACAGAATAAATACCAATAGCTGTGAATCATAGCAGCATGGGGTTGTTTAAAAAAAATCAAATGTTTTGGGGTGTTTTTTTCCCCCCCAGGCATTTTAAAAAGTCACCATGCTCTCGGTGTACTGAAATAGAGGAGGGAGATCTGATTTCATGTTCCTTTTGCTGTGTTTGGGGTGCAAAGAGGGAGGCAAACTCCCTGCAAAGGAGAATCTGGTGGTGCACGAGGTATTTTAAACAGCTCCAACAGGACTGGAATTGGAAAACTGGTGTCTATTCAGTCTAAGGAAACCTCTCCTCTGTGGGGAAAGTAGATATTTAGTCTGAGAAAATCCAAAGGGAAGTTCTGGAAAAATTCCACTGAGATTTTATAAAACTAGTGTCAAATAAAAGTAATTTAAGTGTCAGAGACAACGGTGGTTGTATTTTCCTTTACTATAGTCTTGTAAAAGGGGATGTGCTGGGTTTTTTGTTATTTTCTAATTGAATATACAGTAATACACTACCCAAATTCACTTCTAGCTAAATATAAACAGGTTAGAGTATGCCTAATCTCTGGGAAAAAAAAGTGCTAATACAGACTATCTCTTAGGCATGCCAACCTTTTATTCAATATGCTGTATATTTTTCTTCAGCCTGTAGTTTTAAGTTTTACTGGGCAACAGGAAAAACTTGTTCTCCAATGCAAGTGATTTTGCACCATGTGGTTGAGTCAACTGA